GCCCTCTGGAATTAGTGCTGGTTTTGCAAACTTAAAATAGGTTAGTTGATCATAAAGTTTCTTAAACTCTGGTGTGTTTCTTCATTGCTTTACAGAGGCATAAAGGTATTTCTTGGATGTCTATTTTAATGCAGCCGCTGGGAGAGGCTGATACTGTTTAATGTTCTTCCATGTTCCTTTAGCGTTGGGAATTTTGTTGAACAAGATAGCGATTTCTGTAGCTTACAGTAGGATGAAATCTAATGCTGTTTACTGATGTACCATTTATTTCTTAAGGAATTACAAAACTGAATGTTCTAACCATGCTCTTTGACTCTTCTTTCTTTGTAGTTGCCCTTGCATATGGAATCTATAAGCAAGACCTGCCTGCCTTGGAAGAGAAGCCACGGAACGTTGTTTTTGTGGATATGGGGCATTCTGCGTATCAAGTGTCTGTTTGTGCATTCAACAAAGGAAAACTGAAAGTAAACAATCTATTATGCATCCATTTTAATTACCAGTAGAAATAGCCACCAGTTCATACGTGGCCTGGGACAGACAAGCCTGCCTGTCTTTACATAAGCACATCCACACAGCTCGATTCTTATTCTTAAAATTGTGCTTTTTCTGGAGCTAAAAGTAGGGCAGAGAACTAGAGAGCTTTTGGGCAACATGGGGAGGAAGCAAGCATGCCTTTATAGGCAGACTTTGGCAAAGAATTAAAAACCTGGAATAAGTGATCTGTTCAGAAATTATCATATCTGTCTGGATGCTGCTTTCAAAAAATACTCCAGTCATGAGATGTAGCCTTGAAACAGGAATTCCTGGGATGGTGTAAGTGACAAAAGTGGGTTTTTTAACACCGATTGTGGTGCTCATGTAAGAGAGTAAAAACTTCCTTAATTTAAGCTGCAAATGGAAGCTGTGCAAGTTAAAGTGCACATCTAAGTGTAGGTTGCCAAAGCATTCCTGTTTTCCAGCAAATACTAACATTTCTTGGCTGGCTCTTTTACAATTACAGTCTGGACTTTTGCAGTTCCAGTAACTTAATCAGCTAGAGAAACAAGCACAAATTTTTAAGCATGGGGTAGTGAAGTGAAGGCAGGAGTTCTGAAAACATGAGTTTCGTTGTAGTTCTGTTTTGTCTTGGGAGGAAATGCAACCTACTCTGTGCTTCTCTGATTTGTATTTTAAACTTTGGAGCATGGAAGGGACACTTTTGAATGTAGACTGGAGAGCTGGCCAGCAAGGCAGTTAAAGCAGTGTAGAGACCAAACCTAGTCTGAAGGTGTATTGAGAATAATGTGATACTTTACTGATCTCTGTTATTTAAAATAAAAAATAAGCTGACAGTGTTTGAAATCGGCTGAGGTGGATGGGCTACAGATACTCCTTGCAGATAATTCCCTCGTCAAAAATGAGCGCCTATTTGCAAGAGTTAATAACACTTATTCTCTTCGTGCTTTATTTTTAGCTTGGTGTAAGCATGTTCCACTCTTATGAGGCATCAAATATTAAACTGGGATATGATTCAAACTGACAGTGGCTAAGCAGAATTTGGAAACTCTGCTGTGCGTACAGTGCAAGTAACCGAACAGATTGCATTGCCAAGCCTTGCCCGGTCTCCCTTATTTTCTCTTATAAAGCTGTCACCTCATTACAGGAAGGCTGGGTACTCAGGGCTGCTTTTTAGCATTTGAAATAGCAGGGTTTTTTTCCTCCTGGAGCTTGTAAGTGCTGTATGTGTGTGCTGCAATTTTGGTGAGAATTAACCGTCACAAAGAGCTCTGGTACTCGTGTGGCTCCCAGAATTTGTGGTAATGATGGTTCTTTCTCAGCAGCATTTTGAGCGTACCTAATACCACCTACAAAAGGCATAGGATAATCATGGTTTAGACTTAGTAGGCTTTAAAAAAACCAAAGTGTCTCTTAGGATGTGTATGACTATTACTGCAGTTGCAATCCACATAATAGAAGAGGAAATAGTTTAATTCTTGCCAGCAGTGTCCATGAAATGTGAAAGATGAGTGTAGGACACAGCTTTTATGGTTTGGGATAGGTTGGACTTCCAGATCCTAGAAAATCCTCACTGGTGATGGTGAGGGCAGAATGAAAATGAACCGTACTGGATTTTTTTCTGTAGTGATTACCAGTTTAATTCTTCCTCTGTAGTAATGTTGTGATGCTTGCTTTGACTTAAAGTTGGGCTAAATTTGAGACACAGAAATGCTTTGACATTAACTGCTAATTAGTTTCACTGAAGTAATGACCAATTGGGCTATTACTGAAGAGTTCCATTTTTTTTAAGGTTCTTGCTACATCATTTGATACAACACTTGGAGGCAGGAAGTTCGATGAGGTGCTAGTTGAATACTTTTGTGAAGAGTTTGGAAAGAAATATAAACTAGACATAAAGTCAAAGATCCGTGCGTTGTTGAGGCTATACCAGGAATGTGAAAAACTGAAAAAACTGATGAGCGCCAACGCGTCTGATCTCCCAATGAACATAGAGTGCTTCATGAATGACATCGATGTGTCTGGAACGATGAACAGGTAATGTTTGTACTTTACCAAGGTGAGCTTTGGAGTGCCCTTCATTCAGGGGGAAGAAACTGAATATAAAGTACCAGCCCTCGGGACTGGAGGGAGGTGGGAAACGTAAGAACAATGTGTGTGGGGGTGCTGCTCAAAGTGATCACGTTTAGAGACTGGCCAGTGGCCTTGGACTGGGAGAACGTGCTGGGAAGGTTGCAAGTGTGTCTAGGTGACAAAACTGAATTTGTCTGGGAGAATATACTAAAACTAGGGCTGGGGAAAGAAAACCTGGCAGGACATAGTTAAAGTGGCATTCTGTAATGTTGCCATCCTGTTGTGTTTGCGGTATTAACTTGAGTATGAAATGCTATAGCTTTATTTATGGCTTCTTCCAACAGAAGCAAATTTTTAGAGATGTGTGATGGGCTCCTTGCAAGAGTGGAACCACCCCTTCGCAGCGTGCTGGAGCAAGCCAGTAAGTGTACACACAGACTGCGTCGGAGGAGGGATCCATAACGCAGCTTCCTTTGAGTGCTCACTGAACTTGGGCAGATGGATTTAGCACAGTTAACCATTTCTTGCTTAGCACTTAAAAGGTTTTTAAAAACCTTTTCACACAAGTGAAGACCTCAAATTCTTACTAAGCCAGTTCTCTAAGCTTTTAAGCAAAATAACGTTTGGTCTAGTAAAACTCTTCATTTACAATTTCAGTATGTTCATGTGGACCAGAAAGATTTAATCCATAAACACTAATGTCTGACTCCTTTCTAGAGTTAAAGAAGGAGGATATTTATGCAGTAGAGATAGTTGGTGGTACCACGAGAATCCCTGCTGTGAAAGAGAAGATCAGTAAATTTTTTGGCAAAGAAGTCAGTACAACTTTGAATGCAGATGAGGCTGTCGCACGAGGTTGTGCGCTGCAGGTAAAAAGGGCTGTTTGTTTTAGCTGTATTTTTATTGAAATCCATACGTATTTGAGCCAGAGTCTACAAGTAACACAAAAGATACTTCATGTGTGTCATAGAACAGATTGGAATAAGCTTCAGGAAAGCGGCTGGAAGGATGAGAATAGCAGCTTTAAGTGATTCCTTTGTGCTGTTTAAGCCAAATCAGTGGATCAGTGTAGCTGGTTGAAGTGAAACCATACTCTGTGTCTGCTCTGCTGGGGAACTGGCAGCCTCATAGCACTCATATGACGATGTTTTCTACTTCATGTGTGTCATAGAACAGATTGGAATAAGCTTCAGGAAAGCGGCTGGAAGGATGAGAATAGCAGCTTTAAGTGATTCCTTTGTGCTGTTTAAGCCAAATCAGTGGATCAGTGTAGCTGGTTGAAGTGAAACCATACTCTGTCTGCTCTGCTGGGGAACTGGCAGTCTGATAGTGCTCATATGACAATGTTTTCTCTTCCAGGCTCCTTTGGAGGCCTAGGTTAAACAGGGGAAAAAAACTGACAGCGCTACCAGATAAAGCTGTGATATGGCAGTTGCTTAATAGCATGGGTGGAAATGAAAGCTTAGGTTCTTGCTCATGGAAATCTGTGTCCTGAGGTGGAATTGGTCACTGCTGAATGGCTTAGGCAGTAGTAAATACTCAATAGTTACTATCTCTTGAATGCACCTTGATTTTGCTCTGACCTCACTTCTCTCTTCACATGTTTAATACATGCCTAGAGCTCTGTTCTGTCAGTGGTATGAACTAGCTATTGGAATCTGCTTAAAAAGAGAATTTTGTGTTAGCAGTATGCAAAAAAAAAAAACCCCAAACAACCCAGCACCTAGCGCTATGTCAGGTTTTCTGATTATTTTTTTATGCTGGCACTAAATCAATTCAGTAGTCTAAGCACAGCAAAGCAAACATGATGGCTCTAAATTAAAACTTGTGTATTTTCAGAGTGAACAGACTGTGACCAGTATGCAAAAAAAAAAAACCCCAAACAACCCAGCACCCAGCGCTATGTCAGGTTTTCTGATTTCCTATGCTGGCACTAAATCAATTCAGTAGCCTAAGCACAGCAAAGCAAACATGATGGCTCTGAATTAAAACTTGTGTATTTTCAGAGTGAACAGACTGTGACACCTTCCTGAAAAGGAGGGGTACATATGAGCTTCCAGTGCTCATTAGGCAGGTCCCAACTCCATCAGTATTAATCTCCCTTAACCTAGAGTAAATCTGCATATTAAGCAATGTAAATAGCTACTTGCTGAATTAAATTACTAGTCACCTGAAGTTTGACTGCTTGTAATAGGACTCTTGTGTTCTTCCAGTGTGCTATTTTATCCCCGGCTTTCAAAGTGAGAGAATTTTCTATCACAGATTTGATACCGTATCCCATTTCTTTACGATGGAACTCACCAGCAGAGGAAGGGTTAAGGTAAAAGAAAGTTAAATCTTCTTGCATGGTTACATACAACTTTATCTGATGCATTATCCCACATACTGAACAAATGCTGTTTTCTCTTGCAGTGACTGTGAGGTCTTTCCCAAGAACCACGCTGCTCCCTTTTCCAAGGTCCTCACATTCTACAGAAAGGAGCCTTTTACTCTTGAGGCGTACTACAGTTCTCCCAAGGAGCTGCCTTACCCAGATCCTGCTATAGGTCAGGACCACTCTAGCTTTTAGCTTTATTAATGATCTTGGACATGATACTGGACTCCTTTCTGTCGAATTACATAGTCTGGAAAGTGCAATCAAATAGGGACAGGTTTCCAGAGTCATGGATCTACAGTAAAATGAGGGGAATAACATGAGGTTAATGCACAAATGGGCTAAATAAAGAGCATTTTAATGTTGGAGGAAACCTGCAAAGGGCACTCTCAATTGTGCAGTCTTTGATACGAGTTACACCAGCTTTTACAGCATGCCATAGAGAATTTTGAATAGCCACGTATCCTAGCATTGCTGAGTAAAAAACTGGCTTGTTTGGGTTGAGCAGGATTTGATATCCTCTGAGCACATTGCAGTGATCTGTTGTCAGCAACAGTCAGGTCTTACTTCACATTCAGTGGTTAATGGTATGTTTTTTTTCTCTCTGGGATTGTTCAGCTCACTTCTTGGTTCAGAAGGTCACTCCGCAAACAGATGGATCCAGTTCAAAAGTGAAGGTCAAAGTTAGAGTAAATATCCATGGGATCTTCAGTGTTTCAAGTGCATCTTTAGTGGAGGTTCAGAAATCTGATGAGAGTGAAGAGCCTATGGAAACAGATCAGCATGCGAAAGAGGAAGAGGTAATAGGCTTCATTGCTCTTGGCTACTTAAACTAATGAAGCACAGTTGGACAAGTTCAGGCGAGGTTCTAGGACTTGTGTAAGCAGGCATGTCCAGCAACTGAAATATGAAGATGTGATTAAGCGCTAATTGAAGTGTTATACCACTGACCGATGTCTTGAAACCAAGACTGGGAGGTATAGGTTGAAATTCTTAATCATGCCAGGGTGTTGCTTGCCTGAGCAAAGCCTACAAGCTTACAGTTTGTGCTGAGACTCTAGCAACTGAAATATGAAGATGTGATTAAGCGCTAATTGAAGTGTTATACCACTGACCGATGTCTTGAAACCAAGACTGGGAGGTATAGGTTGAAATTCTTAATCATGCCAGGGTGTTGCTTGCCTGAGCAAAGCTTACAGTTTGTGTTGAGACTCTACTTCAGTTGTTCATTGTCTTTCTTTTGCCTAAAGAGCATTGGGTGTAAGGGAAGTGATCAGCCTGAAGCAATGATCTGTATAGGCGTTGTTTAATATGTCAGTTTGGATCTCTCTGAATTTCAGAAGATGCAAGTAGACCAGGAAGAGCAACAGAAGACTGAAGAACAACAGCAAACCCAACCTGAAAATAAGGCGGAGTCTGAAGAAATGGAGGTAACGTGAACATTTGAGATTTCTGTTTTCTTACAGAAGATAGTTCTGGAAGATTCAGGAGAATGTGTAGTGTGTGAGCATATCTGCTGCCTCAGGCATAGCTCTGGAAGCTGAACTTTTGTTCTAATATATTGGTAGTCTGTATTGTGGTTAGAGCTTTAGAAGTACATAGAGGGCATGGATAATTGCAGACCTGTCAAGTGACCCGGTACTGATAAAAATGGATCAACTCTCCTCCTTCTGGAAGCATTAATAATTTAGTTTTCAGTAACTTAAATGCTAGGACAGTGTTCTACTATCGCCCCTGTGAATGCAGTCAGTGTGCCCAGGAAGGGTCAGTCGTTCCATTAATGATCTGTGACTTCAGCAGCTGAAGTGTCGCAGTGACAGGTAGCATGTGGCTCTGATGCTGCCTGATACTCGACCTGAACTGGCTAGTGATGCTGGTTTGAATCTCTTTCTCTACTTCAGACTTCTCAGGCTGACTCAAAGGACAAGAAAGTGGATCAGCCGCCTCAGGCCAAGAAGGCCAAAGTAAAGACAACTACAGTGGACCTGCCCATTGAGAATCAGTTGGTGTGGCAAATAGGGAAGGACATGCTGAACTTATTCATCGAGAATGAGGTACGCTCTTACTTGTCTGAGCTGAGAACTTTCACGAGTTGATCTCCAGAAATGTTGCTGTTCATTAGACACAGCTAAGGGTGATAAAGAGAACATGAAGAGGAAAAAACATGCAGTTTTTTAAGGCAAACAACAGTGCCCCATACAGATAAAATACAGTATTCCTCTTAAGTGAGTGCTGTACCCCTTACTGAAGAGGTTCTGCAGGAAAGCTACTTCACAGGGTGATTATTTCCCAAACCACCTGCTGTTACAAGGTACTCGATGGCTGCTACCACCAGGGGGAAGGTTCCTCAGCTGGAACAAGATTGTTCTGTATGGTATTGGATATCCCACCAAAACTGAAATGAGCTTTTGTTCGTGTGCTGTGTTTACAGCAGTTCTGTAAACCACAGTATTTCAGCATCTTTAGTCCAACTTAATGTTATCCTGGCAATAAATGTTAAATAACTACCTCGTTAGCTAACTTACCTGACAACTTGTTCACAGGGTAAAATGATAATGCAGGACAAGCTAGAGAAAGAGAGGAATGACGCCAAGAACGCAGTGGAAGAATATGTGTATGATATGAGAGACAAGCTCTGCGGTGTTTATGAGAAATTCGTTAGTGAAGATGTAAGTATTGCTGGCTCGATTGTCTTCTGATCCATTTTGTTACAATGAACAGTTGTATTTTAATAACCTGTATCAGATACTGTTTACTTAGAGGATATTTCAGACTTTAAATCTGGAGGAATAGCTTTTAACCCTTTTGGTGATGAAGATAACCTTGTAAATATGGCCCAAGAAGAAGCAGATGGTACCCAGGATACATCGTGTGTGCTTTTCTGAAACAGTTCCAGCAATTAAGATATTATCAGAGCGTGTGTTTTCAGACTGGGAGCACTTGCACAATCATTTTGAGGCAACCTATTCTGTTTTGGCTCTTCATCAATATTTAGGAGTAGCTTCAGATCAAAAAAGTAAAGAACAACCCTACCTAGGAATGTAATAGATGGGATTTGTCTGACTAAATGTGGGCACTGCTATCTGAACAGGATGTCTGAAATTCTCTTGGTGGTATTAATTAGCTTTCCCTGGTGAACTAAAGGAGCTTGGTGTGTAATTAATATAATTGTAAATTAGATGACTACATGAGTCAGATGAATCACTCCCAACTCTTGACTACATCCCCATTGGTTATAATGGGAGCTTTGCTGGCAAGGTGTCTGCAGAGCCAGGATACCAACGTCAGAGCTAAAACTGGGACAAGTCAAGTGAGATTCATGGCACCTTTGCTAAAGATAAGTTTCACTCTCAGGCTTGCTCCTATAGTGATGATGATGAACATGTGATGAGAAAAAAATAAAGCTTTTATGCAACAGTATTGATCTAAACTGGGGGTGTCATAGATGGTTCTTCCTTAGGGCTCGTCTCCACCGTGAAGCCATCCTGAAGAATTATCCTATTTTAGTGAAAAATGAGAAACAAAAAGAGTTGCAGACAGAGTTCTCTACCTTCTAAAAATGTCACCCTTCTAGAAAGGTTCTGAGTGTCATTTGATAACATCTGCCACCATCGCTCACCTGTCTTGTATGAATTGCTTCAGGATCGAAATAGTTTCACGCTGAAGCTGGAAGACACAGAAAACTGGCTTTATGAAGATGGGGAAGACCAGCCCAAACAAATTTACATCGATAAATTGACAGAACTGAAGGTAAGCGGTTCTTACACTGTCATTGGAGCTTCCTGAACCCAGGGAGCTGGTTTAAGTCTGCTGATCCAGTGATTAGCACTGGTAACAAACTTAGTTTGCGTATGAAGTGTACGAGGAGCAGATCTCACAGTACAGGGCTGAGGGAGACCCTGACCTTCCTGGAAGTGGAGGGAAGAGCAGAAGCTCCAAGGAGTTCAGGAACATTGATGTAACCTGCAGATGGTCAGGGGTTTTGATGGCTCTTGTGCTTCGTTTCAGGCTCTGGGTCAGCCCATTCAGGCAAGGTATCAAGAATCGGAGGAAAGGCCAAAAGCATTTGAGGACTTAGGGAAGCAAATTCAACAGTACATGAAAACAGTGCACGCATTCAAAGCAAAGGTATTTCCATACTTAATGTTTTGGTAAATGCAAAGAAGTTGTACAAATCTCTTCTGAATTTTTCGTGAGCTCCTTTAAACAAAAAGCTGGTACTGGCGTCCGAGTTCCTGATAATTCTTGTATTTTCAGAAGTGGATGTTGGCTTGAAAATCTGGCAGCTTTTTAATCAGGCATTGATTTCCTTATGGAGGGGAAATGCCAGCAGCAGTGGAATTTTGGTTCTCTGGTTATGGGTGGTCAGCTCAGTTCCTCTGCAAACTAGAGCAGCCTTCTGGCTCAATGGTCTTTCTAGTTTGGAGAAATAGATGTTCAGAAGCTTAGATGTTCAAAACTACTGCTCATTCTACCACCTACGGGGCTGTTTCAGGACGAGCAGTATGACCATCTGGATGAAGCGGATGTAGCAAAAGTGGAGAAGAGTGCAAATGAAGCTATGGAGTGGATGAACAACAAACTTAACCTTCAGAACAAGAGAAGTCTTACTTTGGACCCAGTTATAAAAGCTAAAGACATACAAGCCAAAACTAAAGTAAGTTTTGTGGAAACAGAGTGAATTGGGCAGGGTCATTACCTTGGTGAGAGGAAAACTGGAGTGAGTGATCAGTGTAACCTCTCAAATGGGGATCACTGCATTGTCAGAAGTTAATTTGAGCAAAAGATTAAAGTACAACTGGAGGTAAATAAAGACACTTCTTGACAGTGTTTTATTTCTGTTTTCTAGGAATTGACAAGTATTTGTAATCCTATAGTCACAAAACCAAAACCCAAGGTTGAGCTCCCCAAGGAGGAGCAGAAGGCAGCTGAACCCAACGGACCAGTGCAAGGCCAGGGCGAGGGTTGCGGTGGGGCCCAGGCACCTGAACCGGGCACTGCTGCCCCTGCCCCTGCGGCCACCGAGAAGAAGCTTCCAGAAATGGACATTGACTGAATCCCAGCACTTGTTTATATGATTGCAAACTCCAATAAAGCTTTAAGTTGTCAGCGTTGTATGTTCTGAATACAGAGTGAAGCAAGCGAACACCACAGCACTCCTAGCAATTTTTTTTGAAGAGATTTGGAGTCAGAACATTGAGGTAGCTACCAGCTCCAATAAAGCAGTATTTCTTGCCGTTATGATTGTATTTAGAAGTTGTGGGATTCTTCTTAGCCCTACATTTTAAAGTAGTGCGACAGCACCAGCTGAAGCCTCTGCTGTTTCTTCACTTCCCCGTGGATTTACACCAACTGCGTTCGTATAAAGCGCCTGTTCCCCCTAGGACTGCTCCTGCGTAGTCTCTCATTAATCCAGGCCTTGTTTCAGTAAATTCCAGGTTTATTCTAATTGCACTTGCCTAGTTCACAGCCACTCAAGGTTTGCAGGGCCGTGGGGGTAGTGTCAGTGCATTTATTCCTCAACAGGGGCCCTTGTATCACGGATGGGTTGGTTTGTCTGATGTCTGGAATACCAACCATGTGCTCCTGCAGATCAGACCCTGAATGTGCTCTTGGATGTGAAAGTGGACTCTGGATGAACTCCCCAGCTAATTAGACCGTGTAAACTTCTTGTCTCTAGTTAAATTAGTTGCTTGTAGAAGGAATGGATACTTCTATTTCAGCTGCCTCCAGCGATACTCAATTCTGACTTCCTAACTTTTTCTGACGGGGGTGCTTGCTTCCACGAGGCCTTCATCTGAAATGTTTGGGGTTTTATTTTTTGGTTTTTTCACTAGGAAACAAAAGATCTGATTAGACTTTTTATTTTCTATGAGCTTTATACAATGGTTTTGCTTCTGGTACTGATTTGTCATTAAACTTGCGAACATTAATTTGTATGTGTTTAAAAACCCAAAGCTGCAACATCCATTCAGATATTGCAAGAAATAAATGCACTGGATTCTCCTGGATCGCCTTCTCCAGGTGTTGATTGCGGCAAAGAGAAAACCGGGGGGTAGGCGTGAGGGTTGTGTCCTGCGTTACCGGAGGTGGGCGAAGATTCTGCCCTGCTGCGCCGAGGCTTTAATGCTTTTATTGCTGAGAAAGGCGAAGTTAATGAATTAGAGCTAATGATTATTAACGGAGGGAGGGGGTGTGCTTGGTACGAGTGCGTGTGAGGGAAGGCGAGGGCGGCCCCGAGCCCGGCGGCCTTGAGCGGGCGGCGTCTGGGGCAGCTCCCGCGGCCTGGGCCCTGTGCCCGGCGCTGCC